GGCAGAGAGAGAGGGAGACACAGAATCTGAAGCAGGCTCCAGGCTCCCAGCTGTCAGCACAGAGCCCAACGTGGGGCTCGAACTCATGAACCCTGAGATCGTGACCTGAGCCGAAGTCGGACGCTCAGCCGACCGAGCCACCCAGGCACCCCCAAAATATATTTTTTAAAAATGAAATAGAATTTTTAAGCTGAAAGTCTCGCTTTAGGTTTAAATTGGCAACTTAGGCACGGCTGTAGTGGATGTTACAGAAATATAGTTGTTAAGCCTTTACAGACCTCTGAAAGTGGCAATTGTTCCCTCATTAATTCCATGCTGTGGCAGCAGGCGATTCACATCCAAAAAAGACGTGCACGCGTTCTAACCTGTATCCCAAAAGCTATCATTTATGGAAGCTGGCAGACCACAGACTTCTCATCCCCTTAGATGCTGACCCTCATCCACTGAGGCTTCTGCTTTCTTTGGGATTCCTGTTTGGAAAGGAGTGGTTGACAGATTGGGTTTCAGTACCTAAAACTTTGATTTGGTTTTCCTTTCAATTTGCATAAGATACATTCGCATTCTACACGCACGTTAAGAGCGGTTTTGTGTAGATTGCTACAGGATAAAGTCATCTTGCACTGTATTTGGTTAGTCTCGGATATGATTATAGTTGAATAACTGCGAGACTTCTCTAGAAAGAGCACTGCTTTTTTTTAGGCACTGATATACAGACACTTTCTCATTTTGCCTTAAATGGTTTTTTATGACACTCAGAAGAAAAGGGACTTGCTTTCTCGCATGCAATTTTATTTTGTTTTTAAACCTTTTTATTAAAGTATAATGTACACAGAAAATGCAGGTAGCATGAGCAAACAGTTCAGTGATCTCTCACAAAGTGAACATACTCAGATGAAGAAGGAAAACATGCCCAGCACTCCAGAAGCATTCCAGGCCTTGTCCCCCATCCCCAAGTTAAGCACTATCCTGACTTGTAACAGCACAGATGGTTTTGTCTGTTTGGTATTTTATATAAATTGAGTCCAACAATTATATTTCCTATTTTAGTAATATACTCTTTAGTGTCTGTCTTCTTAAATTCACATTATAAATGTGAGATTCATCCATTTGGTCAAATGTAGTTGTAGATAATTCATTCTCATTGTCACGTTATGTGCCATTGTGTGAATATACTACAATATATTTATCTATTCCTCTGTTGATGGACATTTGGGTTGTCTGCAGCTTGGGGCCATTAGGAATAGTGGTGCTGTAAATATCTTAGTGCCTATCTATTAAGAACATATTTACAAATTTCCGTTAGGTATATATATCTAGGATTTGAACTGCCAAGTCATACGGTATCTGTATGCTCAGCTTTAGTTTCTAAAACTAGTTTTCAAAAGTGGCTGTACCAATATACACTCCCACCAGCACAGTATACGAGTTCTACTTGTGCTCCACGTTCTTGCCAACACTTGGTGTTTTCCGTCTTTTTCATTTTAGCCCATATATGTGTGTGTGTGTGTGTGTGTGTGTGTGTGTGTGTACACACACACACACACATATATATAACCATTATGGTTGGTATATAGTGATATCTCAATGTGATTTTAATTTTTATTTCTTGTCTTCCAATCTCAACGTAGTATCTCTCCAAGACAGTTAACTGATATCTGAGATCTGAGACCTCGTCATGGTCCTCGCATGGCTGCACCATTTATATTTCAGCAACAATAGTAAGCCATTAGTAACTTTAAATCTTCCCACACAAAAATGCCTAAAGCCAGATGGTTTCACTGGTTAATTGCATTAAACATTTATAGGAGAAATAACACTGACACTCCACGAAATCTTTCAAAAAGAGGAAGAAGGAACACTCGCCAAGTCTGTGAGGCCAGGATTACCCTGATACTTAAGCCATACCAACACATAACAACAATCACAAAGACTACAGACCAATATTCCTCATGAATATAGATGTGAAAGTCTTCAGCAAAATACTAGCAAATTGAATCTAGCAACATATAAAAAAATTATATATCATGACCAGGCGAGGTCTGTTCTGTAACACAAGGCTGCCTCAACATTCAGAAATCAGTGTAATCTCCCATATTAACAAGCTGAAGAAGAAAAATCACATGACCTACAGATTCAGTACCATTTTATCAAACTTCCAGCAGCCTTTCTTCCCCAGAATTGATAAACGAATCCGCAAAATATAGAGAGAAGTAGAAAGGACCAAGAAGAGTGAAAAGGAATCTGCCAAACGAAGCGGGAGGACATTTAGCTACCAATTTCAGACACATAGATTAACAGAACAGAAAACAGTCCGGCAACAAGCCCTCATACTATGATAAACATGTATTTGCCCCACAAAAGTGTGAAGGCAATTCAATGGGGAAGGAAAAACCTTTCAACATTTGGTGCAGGGATCATTGGATATGCACGTGCAAAAAGATAAATTTAAATCTTGCTTCCTGCCATTCTAACAATGAGCTCAAAATAGATCACAGACATAAGTATAAAAGCTACAGTATAAAAGTTTTAGTAGAAAAGTAGAAAGTATAAAAGTTTTAGTAGAAAACAGGAGAAACTCTGTGACCTTGGTTTAGGCAAGAAATTCTCAGATAGGACACCAAGAACATGATCCATAAGGAAAAAAAAAATCATAAACTGGACTTCCATGAAACCAAAAACCAAAAAGGTTTGTGCTTCAAAAGACACAGCTAAGGAAACGAAAAGACAAAACACAGACTGGGAGAAAACATTTGTAAGGCCTGTATCTGATAAAGGACTTCTATCCAGAATATATAAAGAACACTTACAGCTCAATAAAAAGACAAACAACCCATTTTAAATTTTTTTTTTTTTTCAACGTTTATTTATTTTTGGGACAGAGAGAGACAGAGCATGAACGGGGGAGGAGCAGAGAGAGAGGGAGACACAGAATCGGAAACAGGCTCCAGGCTCTGAGCCATCAGCCCAGAGCCCGATGCGGGGCTCGAACTCACGGACCGCGAGATCGTGACCTGGCTGAAGTCGGACGCTTAACCGACTGCGCCACCCAGGCGCCCCAAACAACCCATTTTAAAAATGGACAAAAGACTTGAAGAGACATTTCATCAAAGAGGATAAAGTAAGCACATAAAGCACATAAAGAGATGCCCAGCATCGTTAGGGAAATTCTAATGAAAACCCCAATGAAATAACCACTTTACATGCGCTAAAATGGCTATAATTAAAAAAGACCATCCTAACAAATGTTGGCAAAGATATGGAGGATTAGGAACTTTCATACATTTCTGGTGTACATGCACGAAAGTGGTATAGCCACTTTGGAAAAGGGACAGTTTCCTTAAAAGTCGATCATAAATTTACCATAGGACCCAGCGATGTCACTCCTGGTATCCACCCAAAAGATATGTAACATGTGCTCACACAAACTTGCCCTTGTTGATAATAGCCTAATTTATATAAGGCAAAAAGTACAGACAGTCCAAATGTCCATCAACTGGCAAACGGACACACCAAATGTGGTACAGTCAGCAATAAAAAGGAACCAATGCTAATAAATACTACAACATGGATGAACCTCAAAAATAGCATGATAAGTGAAAGAAGCAAGACACAAAAGATCAAGTATTGTATTTGTATATTGTATTTACATGAAATGTCCAGAAAAAAATCTATAGAGATCTGTAGATTAGTGGTTGGGGATGAAAATGGGAATGGTCATGAATTATAAATTAGTACAAGGATTTTTTATTGGGGTCAGAGACATGTTCTAGAACGTGATCGTGGTGACGGTTGCCCCACTAGGTATAAGTTTAATAAAGGTCACTGAGGCGATCCTTAATTCCATTCCTTTTTAAACACCTGGATCCCCTGCCATAACATCTGTTGCCGCCTATAGCTACAATGAACTGTTGTCTTGGGGCTTGTTGTACATTGAAGAAGAAACTTTTGTTTAAAAAAAAGTCATTGACCTGTACAATTTAAATACGGAACGTAAATGATACCAAAATAAAGTTGTTCCTTTTTCAGAGTTGCTTTGCCTATTCTGGGTCCTTTACATTTCCATAGGAATTGTAGAATAGGTTTGTCCATTTCCACAACAACAAAAAAGCTGCTGTGGTTTTTATT